TATATATATAGGTAGGATTTCCACAGTCGCACCCATACCGCGATGCCGCTAGTTAGGTGTCGCTAGTATAGCTATCATAAGAATCAAGATATCTCGATATTACGCTGTAAGTCTTAGTCCTGCATCTGTTTGCCAGCGGGCACATGATGGGTCATGATTGCGCTGGATAAGAGGATGTTATTTGGAGCGTATACTACCCAGCTGCCCTATCTGCCGCTCAGACGACGACCGCTGCAAGCCAATCGTCTACAGCTATTCAAATAGTTCGTTTACCTCTTTGTAGGACCAGGAAGTAATAAAGTCCACGTTAAAGGCGGTCATCGGCTGCTTGCTCAAAGACAAAAGGTACGTGTTGGCGCTTGTTTTAAAGCTAGCAGCCGCATTGCAGATTAATGTACGAACATATGAACCTGTCACGTCACTGGAAAGAATTATAATATAATAATGTTGGTAAAACAATGTTAGCAGTTATATTTTGTGACAGCATTATATCATTGTGCCACCGACAATGTTTAGTGACATGCATGGGCAATGTGGTGAATTTCGTTTTCGTTTTAGGTTTAGTGATACGACAATGATATGGTAAGGAACTCTATTTACTCTATGAGGAAATAGTGATGAAAAGTTTTTAGGATATAGGAGTCTGAAATTACTTGCGGTTCTTATATTTATATGCAATTAGAGTACGCTACTTTATTGTTAAAGTTTACTTTTAATATGTAAAATTAGCTGTACAAAATCATTTGTTTAGTGAAGCTACAAGTTGATCACTGTATAATTATTAATTATATATACAGGCCGCACACAAAAGACGACCTCCGAGCTTATATTATACTTCTACAGGTAATCGTAATACGTAATATTATAGTATCGTTTTTCGACTATTATTACTACCTTACATTATTCCACACGAACGGAATATATAATTTAAATAGTTATATTATATTTTTAATCTCTCATAACGTATAAATAACCACCTACCACATTCGGTGATTGGTATCACTGAATACCCCCTCCCCCAATGTAGGTAATCTATCACGTGGTCGTGTGAAACCCGCGTGACATATTCAGTCCATTCGCACATGCATCGGTAACGCTGGCTTTTTCTTTTCCGTCATGATAATAATCCTCTTATTGAAGTTTCTTTGTGTCGCAGAATCCCATATTTACGCACGTGCAGACATACGTCGTGTTCGCACATCTCCTACGGGAGGTGGCCAGTCTCAACGACTACGACCATCACTTCATCGTGCACTGGTTCAGAAAGTGAGTTATGAGGCCGTTTCGTGGTCGAAAACTAGTCCATGTAGAGTTCTTCTGCAAACTACCACGAAATCGTATATCGATGTGAATAGCGCGAACACAATAATTAACGGCGCACTTTTGATTTTGATTTTGGTGATGATGATAATGATGATGATGATGATGATGATCGCGATGATGATGATGATGATGATGATCGCGATGATAATGATGATGATGATGATGATGACGACGAGGACGATGACGATGATGATGATGATGATGATGATGATGATGATGACGATGACGATGATGATGCTGATGATGATGATGATTGATAACAACAACCGTGTTAGTAGCAAGTAGTAGCAATGATCGTCTGATTGTTTGCAGAGTGCCCGTCGTGAGGTTTAAGAAGCTCATTACGATGATACATCAGTTCGTCACCGTGCGCCTGTTTCCACCCAAGGACGGCGACCTGCCGCCCATGTCGAAATGCACTTGGTGGATTCCCAGCGCTATAAAAGTGCTCGCGTTGCTTCGTAAGCGAATTGTTTGTTCGTGTTGGTTAATTTTAGCGAATGTGTGAACGAAGGTGAATGTTCCCTGGTTACATATTAGCGGCTCCCCATCGTTTCTACATTCTCGTTGTGTCTGTACTCTTTATAGAATAGACATGGATTAACTAGGAGTAGGTATAAATACATCAAGTGGTTATTTGTACTTCCATGCGTATATATTATATATATATATATATATATCATAGATAATTATCACTATAGATACTATAGTGATAATTATTTACACGTCGCACTCATTATAAATATTGATAATGCGGAATGTGGAAGTTTTAAGAATAACTAGGGAGTGTGCCATTGTGTATGCGTCAAATATTTTCCAACAGATGCTGCCAACGGAGTGAGCACTCCACCGCTGATAAACCATACAGAGTTTTACAACAGTGCCTTAGACCACATGGACCTAATGGCAGAATATTATGCCTGGCAAAATCCAAGCGCTCATCCTGGGTGAGGGACGCTGTGCCTGCTAGCTCTTTACGAGGTCACATCAATGATTCTAATTGGCGTTTGATTGTGCCGTACCATCAGGCTTGCGTCCGAGAAAAACCATTGCTGAAATATTAACGGGCAAATGCTGATTAAAGCAAAAAGTACTTATGAAACAATTGCCGTGGCAGAATGCCGTCAGCACTGTACATAATCTTTGCGCATTTAGATGGGCCACGTGACCATTGGGGGCAATTGGGCCAATTGTGAATTGGGACAATCGTGACAATTGGGCCAATTGTGAATTGGGACAATCGTGACAATTGGGCCACGTGACGTCTTACGATCAATATTTTATCTTACGACGAAGAAGAAAATAAAGGTCGAGATTAACACGCAGTTTTGATATTATACTAGCACTAGCACGTATAGCTGATCATGTGATCACACTATATAGGAATGTCCGGGTAACGATATAAGCTTGCTGAGCTAAGCTTGAAGTAAGCGAACGCGTGCTGTTTCAGGTTTTCCTTTTGCCAGTACCCCTTCATTCTAAGCATCACTGCCAAGCGGACCATCATGCAGAGAGATTCCGAACAACAGATGATCATTAACGCACGAGTAAGAGACAAACAGATGCGCGATAATGCCATACGTCCATCTTGCCCGTTACTTAATTTATTGTATTGTCCTCGATGTCCGAGCAAGGTCATTCAAAACCCGTAATTATATTGCGGAGAGGCCATGAGACGATGCCTAGGAACAATTACCGATCGATCAACCAAACTTCACACTGTACTCTGTTATAGAGAGACTAAAGTTAAATGTTTGCCAATAATAATTCTCTAATTCATGGCTAAGGATTAATTAAACCTGCCCCTTCAAATATGATTTATCCCTTGTTTCGAAAATCGAAAATCCGCAAACTATAATTAACGTTAGCGATTCAAGAAACGTATGGAATATCGTCACAGATTCGCACTACATATTTATGTACGATATGCAACATGCAATATTGATTAAGCTCATATATAGGCGTGATCATAAATGTGCCCAGACCGAACAACATCGTAAACACGTTTGTATTAGTAGCTTTATTTAGCTTTGTTGAGCTTACTTGGCTTATTTAGCTTCAACTAGTACTAGTAGTTTTATTTAGTTTGTACTATAATGTTTTTGTATTAGTAACATGCGTTTGCAATGGTAGCTTACTTTGTAACTTTACAGAGAAGTCTGGTGGCGAAGGTTCAGCGGCGCCAGCAACCTGATATCGGCATGCTCTTCCTCAATTTGAACATCCGGCGGTCGGAACTAGTGGAGGACTCATTAAATGAGGTGGACTATTTATATTCAATATCGAATATACAACTGCCTCCTGCTTGTCAACATGATTCTAACGTATGTTAGGGATTGGACCGATGGCGAAAAATGCATCTTACTAAACAGTTTGTGACACTTGATGTATTAAACTCCCGAAATATACCTATAAATGTGAATTAAGATAAAAATGTTGTAAGTAAAGTGTGTGCCGATGTAATTTTCTCGCAATTTGTCGGTCACTGTTCGTGTAATGTTATGTACTCAGATTCAACGAAAGTCGAGTGAACTGAAGAAAAAACTGAAAGTGACGTTCGTAGGAGAGGCAGGCTTGGACATGGGTGGCCTAACTAAAGAGTGGTTTTTGTTATTAACACGCGCCATTTTCCATCCAGAATACGGTAATTTCACAAAAACTACAATAACTACTAAAATAAATTCACAAGATAGTTAGTAACGCATTTTCATTAAACTTACCTTCTGCCGCATGTCTGTGCTTCATTTCTCTGCTAGTTACAAAGAATTATTTTCTATTGGGCTTCTATTCACAAAACCTAATAGATGTAAGCTTTGTTGCACATCAGTGCGTTTAACTAAATCGCTTGTTAAGATGACCGAAGAGTTGACCGAAGTGTGAAGATATTTTATTTCTTCACTCCTACTATGTCTGACTCCATGTTATAATGTCTTTAGAGTATTGCGGACAAATGCGTATCTGTGACGTCTACATTTTTATAAGGCGAAAGGGCATACCATCCGATACTTATTAGCAACTATCGTGTCTAAATAATGTAGGAGTTCGACGTGTAACCAATCGTTAACAGTAAAAGTAACATTGAGCGGTCATTAATAATTAATTGATTACTGCCCACACGTAATACAGTTGCTCGAAAAGCGCAATGAGCAACGCAAGCAACGTATAACGACGCATGCGCGCACCGGCGTACTATGCAGACTGTAAGCAACGCCTTCACCTTCTTCAATTATTAATGAACAATTAGGCATAATTCTGCTATCTAGTCTCTGATGTCGCTTCTGACCTTTATATGCTGATGACGTCGGCCGTGACACTGATAGGCTGAGGCAATATTTATATACGATGTCGAGGTAATGCCACCCGCGCAGTATCAAGACCGCATCCTCTAGAGTAGGGACGAAGGGAGGCGCAACCGCTCCCTGGTGATGATTTCCTTGATCAACAAAATGATTCCTTTAGCATAATCTTATCTCCCACGTGATCTTTTAAAAATCTTTTCCCAAATAAGTTCGTTCACATCGTTACGAAGACGGGTCACGAAATACTAGCACCACTCCCCATTAGGAATTTGTTCACGCTACTGCGTTGCGTGCATCGTTGCACGTGTGAAGGTCATCGGTTCGTTTTCCTTACATAATGCAGGTATGTTCATCTACCATAACGAGTCTTCAGTGTTCTGGTTCAACAGTATCCCCACCACCGACCACTATCAGGAATTTCGCCTAGTCGGGGTCGTATCCTTTGTCGATAGCAGCACGTGTGTGGCGCGTTAATCGTTAATTATCTTCTACTTATACTATTTTATTATTTTTTTAATATTCGGTCATCATTATTTCATTACTGTTGATATTTCTTTTCATATTAATTAATAGTAATATCGTTTCACCGTAAAAAAACGAATTATCTCTGCTAAGATTCGTTTGTGAGTTCCTCAGAGGACCTATTGCCCGTGCCAGTGGCAGTATCTGTCGACAAATCTATTTATGCGATGTTATTGTTTATTTTAATGCTTCATCTAATCCACTGTTGAACAGTATAATGATATGACACGTTATTATCCCTTTTAGTACTATTTACGTGCGTGTGTGCTTGCGTGCGTTTGTGTGTCTGTGTGTGTGTGCGTGCGTGCGTGCGTGCGTGCGTGCGTGCGTGCGTGCGTTTGTGTGTCTGTGTGTGTGTGTATGTGTGTGTGGTGCGTGTGTGTGGTGGTGTGTGTGTGTGTGTGTGTGTGTGTGTTGTGTGTGTGTGTTGTGTGTGTGCGTTTGTGCGTGTGTGCGTGCGTGCGTGCGTGCGTGCGTGCGTACGTGCGTACGTGTGAAAAATAATGGTATGATACATAAGACGATGACACTGGCTGTAGCGATAATTCCTTAACTCTGCAAATAACAGCTAATGGGGTTAGCAGTCTACAATAGCACTATCCTCGACATCCGGTTTCCTCCTTGTTGCTACAAGAAACTTCTTAACCCCGCCGTTGTTCCTGCAAACACTGCCGGTGTTCCACTAGGAGTGTGCACGATGACGCTTGAGGACTTTGCTCAGGTTTGGCCGGTACGTTCATCCCCTCTACCGAATGTTCCAGGTTTTTTATATTAAATTACGGGAAGGACTGCGATACTACTACCATTGGCTGCAGGATCATGTCTGGCCGCTCACACTACATCTATATAATTATACACTATGTGGATGTGGTGTGCGCGGTCAGACATGATATTGCAGCCAGTGACTAGGACGTGCGTCGTATTAGTAAAGTGAACCGACAATGTGTGTGTTGAGGCGGTGTGGTGAGGCACCCTGTGTCGCGAGTAGCCTACATCATATTTGCTAGTGAAATCTGTATCCGTATATAAACGATTTAATTAAAACGGTGAAAATTAAAAGCAATTGGTTACCCTTTCAGCAAGTTGCGAAAGGTTTAAAGGACTTACTAGAATATGACGGTGATACGGACGAGGATTTTGGCTTGACATTCGAGGTAAGTCGACAATGCAGCGCGAGAGAAGAGAATAGAATGAGACGTATTTATGCCGTGGCCCGGGGAGAAGTGATATGATAGCTGTCCTGTGTCGAAGCGAAAGATTACATGAGTAGAACTAGGAAACGTGCATCCCTTGTTGCCATGAAAGTACCGAGGGAAAATAACTATAGATAATAACGAGCAATAATGATTCGGTATTGCATTTAGAGTATATGAGACATGTCCGATGTCCGTTACTTACAGGTGTCAACAACTGAGTTCGGTACTGTGCGCACACACCAACTAAAACCGGGTGGCGACACAATCCATGTCACGAACGAGAATCGTGAAGGTAAGGCCAAACACTGCTAATTATTATACTACCGGCTCTACAGATAATAAACGCGAATAATACATGTATTTACAGATATTAATGAATTCTCCACATTTTTTCGTATCCGTAAATGCTTCTAGCGTGTTACTTTGCTTTAATGTAACGTCACTAAATGCTCACACATCGCTTATTATTGCGTGCATTCGCCTTTCTTTCAGAATACGTGAAGCTGTATGTAGACTGGGCTCTCAACAAATCTATCTATCACCAGTTCAAAGCATTTTACCTAGGGTTCCATAGCGTCTGTGCATCAAATGCGCTGATCGTAAGTTCTACCTACATTTGAACGTTAATTATTATATTATTATGCGTTAAGTGACTTCGTGGAAGTTTAATCGTTGTGAGACTTGTTGGAATTCCTTTGTTTACATTAGCAAAAATAATACCATATGTATAGCCAACCCGCGCCAAACAGTGCTATTTGGAATTATCACTTCAATGGCATAATCCCACCAAAAACCGAAAAATCAATTCAAATCATTCAAATCATTCTCGGTAGATCATTCAATAGAGCCGTGCCGCGTACGCTTTTTCAGATGTTACGATCAGATGAGATAGAGGTGTTGGTCTGTGGTAGTCCAGAGTTCGATATGGAGAAACTGAAGCAAGTGGCTATATGTGATGGATATACAAAAGCCGACGTAACTATCAAGTAAGTGATACATTTCGGCAGAGAGTGTGAGGAGAAAGCAAGCGGGCAAAAAGAGGAGAGAGATAGAGGGAGAGAGGAGAGAAGGCGATAAAATGCATGCGTGCGTGTATGGGGCGCCAAGTGTCGCATGACTGATTTCGTTACGAAATCAATGATTTTGTAACGAAATCAA